TCTAGGAATAAAAAGAAAACACTGATGGCGTCCTCCGCTCCACGCATGATGATAACAACATGTGGTTCAAGTGTCCACTCAGGTGTTGACCATCCAGCTGGAGACGGACAGGCAAGCGGGTTTAGGTTAGAACCAGACGTGTGAAGTCTGAGACTTCCACAATGTGATAGCAAGCATAAAGGGAGGAGCGGAGGTTTAGAAAAATGTGTGTCGAGGAAAACATGGAGAAGGAGACATCCGGGCTGGAACTTAAAGGAATGGTAAGAAACTGCTGAGATGAAGTAGGAGAAGAAGCATTCTAACAGGATAAAACAGCGCAACCAAAGGTGTGGAATTGGTACTGCTTACCCTTCACAGACTGACAGGATCTAACAACTTAACGCACTTCTGTGTGACTCTAAGAGAATAATGAGCAACTCACTGTTCTTTGAGAGGAAAGACCAAGACAATAACTACAGAGCATTCAGCAGAATGTCTGGCACGTGGCGGCACTCCCAAACAGTAGCTGTTTATATTATCTCACTTTTCACTGCAAGTACATACGACTCATACACATAACGCTCATTGTGGACCCTAATACTTTGATGCTTTGAATATTTGCCAAAATCGTGCCTTTAATATATCTTATTTACGTGCCTACAGGACAAAGAGTGAGGCTTATCTGTTTATATCCTCTTTATCTAAGCAGAGTGACTTGAATTCAAATTACTGAAAGGGTAAAGAGAAAGGCTTTAAATGAAACCTTCCACATAATGCAGAAGGCATTGCATCTGTTGGCCCATCAGCAGGTACATCAACGCACTCGCCTTTAGCCTACTGTGTGTGAAGATTCCTGGGGAAGAAGTTTGTCTTTGTAAGGAAAAGTCTGCCCATTGGAAGGAGTGATTAAAAACTAACTCTTGAGGAGCATCATTACAGTGAGATTGGGACGACTTTGTAACCTCCTGAGCCCCCAGTCACCCAGGAAACACATCCGAGTCTCCCCTCATTGTACGAGAGTATAAAGGCCACCAGGCCCCCAGACCACAGATCCCCCATCATGCACAAGTAACCCAATGGTGAGTCTTTCCCCCTGTTTCCTTCTCAGCGCTCCACCGGACAGCAGCAGGCATTTTTCTCCTTTGACATATAAAGAGATTTGGCCTTGTGATAACCACCCTCAAAATATTATCTAGAATCATGCAAAGAAAAGGAAAAGGTGACACATGTAAAATCTCTGTAATAGAATATCGTATGATATTCCCAACTTGGAAGACACATAGGCAGAGGAAGAAACATGAAAGTGGTGTCACCTGGCTTAACACGATCAATGAATCGCTGCAGAAGAAGGAAATGATGCTTTTCTTAGAAATTCTGGCATGTTTAACCTAATAAGCACAATTATTAACTCAGTAATATTAATTAACTCCCCAGCAGGAAAAACAACAGGGAAAGCCTGTTACTCATGGTAACATCAGCTACTCAGCGGAGTATAAAAGGGGAGCGGGATGGGAGACTCTCAAACTCAGGAAACCACTCTTGTGAAACCCACTCCTACCCACTTGTGGAACCCCAAGCCTTCCACTGACACCATGGTCAGCTCCTGTTGTGGCTCCGTCTGCTCTGACCAGGGCTGTGGCCAGGAGACCTGCTGCCGCCCCAGCTGTTGTCAGATCGCGTGCTGCAGAACCACCTGCCTCCGCCCCAGCTGCAGTGTGTCCAGCTGCTGCAGGCCCCAGTGCTGCATCTCCAGCTGCTGCAGGCCCCAGTGCCAGCAGTCTGTGTGCTGCCAGCCCACCTTCCTCCGCCCCAGCTGCAGTGTGTCCAGCTGCTGCAGGCCCCGGTGCTGCATCTCTAGCTGCTGCCGCCCCAGCTGCAGTGTGTCCAGCTGCTGCGGCCCCAGCTGTGATGTGTCCAGCTGCTGCAGGCCCCAGTGCTGCATCTCCAGCTGCTGCCAGCCCTCTTGCTCCAATTCTAGCTGCTGCGGCTCCAGCTGCTGCCACCCCTCCTGCTGTCTGCGCCCAGTCTGTGGCCGGGTCTCCTGCCACACCACTTGCTACCGCCCCACCTGTGTCATCTCCACCTGCCCCCGCCCTGTGTGCTGCCCCTCCACTTGCTGCTGAATCTCTGCCCTGTGACCACCATCTGTCTACCTCTGTTCTCACAGATATAGACCCCACTGTTATGCTGACCATTAGGAAACAGGGAGTGTGGTTGAGGTCACTTGACTGAACTGGGCCTCAGGATTCCATTGGGGAACCGGGTCACGCTGTTGCAGGAGACAGATGTGGTCCCGAGCACTTACGCTTAACCGAGTTTACCCTTCAACCTGACCAGTGGTGAAATCATTCTCCTGACTTCTTTTTTCTAGGGCTTTTCTGTACCCTGCTATATTTCTGTAACAAAATAAAGTTACTTCTCCCTGCATTAAAAATTCAGCGTGATTGTGGCTCCCTTGAGATTTTGTCTTCAGTTTCTAGACAAGAGTACCTGACCTGTTCCTGCAGGACACACCACATGGTCTTATCACTTCTCCGTAAATGGTTCATTATTCACTGCCTGATTTATTCCTAGATGCCTCCTTAGTTCATGAGCAAATCACCTAAGACTATGAATGTCTCCAAGGAAAAGAACAAAGAAGTGAAACCGGGAGTTTGGCGGACTCCACGTAAATAAAAGTAAAAAGAACACAATACGTGCTTCGTGGTCACATCCGCTGTCGTAGCTGCAATGTGCTATTTGGCACAGTCTGCACGTTTGTCTTCAGACTCGCGCTCCATGATACGGGTGTCATCCACGCAGCAAAACAAGTGTGTGCTGATTCTGCCCCTATTTACAATAGGACCTTAGTCCTCACGCATTTTTTCTTTTGATAGGAGATTTCAAATCCATATACACTGCAAAGACAGACAGGCAACCTAGAGGAGTGCAGCAGGTCCTTCATAAGACAAGGTGCTTGGTGGAAACCGTGGCATGACCACAGCAGAGAGCAGTATTGACTTCCTGTCAGGTGTTTCTATGTGGAAACGGGGGTCAAGCGTTTTTCCTGAAAAGTGAGTCTCCTTTCATTGATCCTTCCAAATGCCAAAATCTTCACTCATTCATTTAAAAAGTATTCATTGAGCATTTATTACGTGGCGACACTGTTAAAGGTGCGGGGGTAACAGCGGAGAGTAACACACACAAAACTCTCTGCACTAAGGGAGCCGCCACCCTAGTGGAGGTTCTCAACAAAATCACTGATGTGTTTGCTTTTTAATATTTTTCTAGACATTTGTCCACTGGTTTGTACACTATATTTCTCCCTGTGCTTTATTTATATGAACGAGACTGAGCTTTGGAGCTTTTCTTTAGGTGCAGGTATCTGTGATTCAAATGAGGACACGGTCCCCTAAAAGACAGTTCCTTACTCCACAATCTGAGAGCCCCACCAAAGCTGCCTAGTTTGGAGAGGGAGCTAGGGGGCTGGCTCACTGAAGAAAGAGAGCATGAAAATAAATCATCAGTTACTCACTTGAGGTGACAACTAGACAGAAATTTGGGCTCCTACACTCAAAACAACTCAAGAAACTAACAAGTGAATTTAACAGGGACGTGACATATAAGGTCAGTGTACTCAAATTAACTGTATTTGGTATACTAGCAACAAACTACGACATAGTTAAGTTTAAATGAGAGCAATTCTATTTGCAAAGGCATCAAGAACGCAAGATGCTCAGGGAAAAAATACAAAACTGTGGAAGAACTCTGCCTGCAAAGCTGCACCGTTGCAGAAGGACAAATCAGGGAAGAGCTAAAGGAATGGAGACACACCCCCTTCGTGGACCGGCGCGCTCAGTATCGCTAAGATGCCCATTCTCCGTCAATCAGTCTAAAGATTCAATGCAATCGCAATCAAAATCCCAGTACGCTGATTAGCGGATGCTTAGAAGCTGATTTTAACATTTGTATGGAATTTCCAAACCCATCTTGAAGACTGAAATGAAGAAAGATACAAAGGGATTTTGAAGGAAAAAGTGACAGAGAAAATACACAGAGAATATCTATAATAGATCTTCAAAGAAGAAAAACAAAGCTATGAAACACAATGAATACTAAGAATTGAAATTCAAATAAAAGCTCACTTGTACACACCTGGAAAAAGCAGCCCACAGCGCTCAAAATTGAGACACAATGTTATAAAACTATTGGATTTTTTTAAAAAGAGAAACCCAATGAAGATCTAGACAAAAAATCCATGTCAGTTATAAGGAAAGGGGAAGTGGATTGTGTTCACACTTTTTGATGGCAATACTTTATGTCAGAAGGTAATGGACTAACATTTTAAAGACACTTAAGAAAGGAAATATGAACCAAGGATTTTCTGTCTAGCCCAACTGAACTCCAGCTATAAAGGCCACAAAAGACTCCTGTGAACACGAAGGACCTCAGTGAATGTTCTCCCCGTGGGGCTATCCTGAGGAATTTACTCGTGAACGAGCTCCAACCAACCCAAATGACTGAAGATACTGGAGGGACATCTACACGAGGACTAGCAGAGGGCGTTCTACATACACACATGCATATGTTTGGATGCACATATAATATGCATCCATATTATTCATAGAACTAACATTGAGTGTGGAACATGAGAGAGGCAATATGATGTGTAACGGCCATGTACTGACCATGCAGATGTAGGACAATTACCAAAAAATGGAGAGAAAGGAGAGAGAATACATAATATAGAAAATATTGCTGATTGCCTACGGGTATTAAATAGGAACTCAAATCTGATGCGGAAGGACAGGGAGGACTAAGAAGTAAGTAGGTAATTCTAATGTTTCTGAAAGAAGAGAATCAACTGACGATAGCCAAAAAATCAGACTCATCAGGTATTATATAAAGACATTTATACGAAGGTAGCTGTTAGTACAAGATACAAATCTTCCTGAGTACCAAAATACACATTGAGAGAGAGAGAGAGAGAAACAGAGAGGGAATAAAACAAATAGTGAAAGATTAGTTACAGAGATACAGCGATAGAGACATAACTATTTAACATACATATTATATATAAAACATAATTCACTACATGTTATATATCACTATTATTATATATCACTATTATTATATATGACTATTTATTATATTACATAGGTATATCACTATATTTATAATAAAACGACACAACTAAAGCCAAACATATTGATCAATGGTTACACCAACACATGTAAGAGTCTCAACTCACAGGTAAAAAGAAAGAGATTTGCAGATTGACTGAAAAGTAAACACCCACTACTATGCTGTAGACACAAGATACAGCTAAAACAACCAGCCTCAGAGCGCTATAAGTAAGGGAATAGAGGAGGTTATATCACAGAATATGCAAATAAAAGAAAGCAGGGGTCCCGATTTTGTTATCAAACAAGTTGGAGTCACACAAAAAGCATCACAGGAGACAACGTGGGACGCTTTCTTGTGGTAAAGGCTCAGTGAAAATATAACTACACAGCTGAACTTCAGAAACAGAGATCACAGGTGATGCGAGAATAGAAGAGAAAGAGACCAGCAACTGAAGACTTTAACACACTTTGCATTTAAGGTGAGAAGATGAGGAGAAAAATTAATAAGAATATGAAAGAACTAAACAAAATCAACAAGGTAGATCTTGTAGATACACATTGAACTCTCAATCCTCAAAATAACAAAAATACTTCTTGTTTTCAAGGCACAATATTATTTTAATAGTGAACGCCTGGAAACAACCCAAATGTCCATCTACAGGAGACTGGCTAAATAAGCTGTATGGTGTCCGCAGAATGGACTCCATTGTGGCTGAGAATGGAATGAAGGATATCTGAACATACCACTGTGAGCTGAGCTCTGGGATCAATTGTTAAGTGGAGAAAAGCCAGTTGGAACAAAGTGCGCAGTATACAACCATTTATCTAAGAAACAAAGGTGTTACAAGTATGAAACCCAAATATATTTATATTTAAAATAGCAATGGGAAGGAAAATGTTAAATTATAAATATGGCCATCTCTGGGGGAGGGCGGGCCTGCAAGGAAGGCACAGGAATAGGAGAATTCCTTAAACGTGGTCCCCTTCAGAGAATTTACTTTGGAAACAAAGATATTTGGCACAATTCCAAAATATAATTTAAAAAGTGATTTCTAGGAATAAAAAGAAAACACTGATGGCGTCCTCCGCTCCACGCATGATGATAACAACATGTGGTTCAAGTGTCCACTCAGGTGTTGACCATCCAGCTGGAGACGGACAGGCAAGCGGGTTTAGGTTAGAACCGGACGTGTGAAGTCTGAGACTTCCACAATGTGATAGCAAGCATAAAGGATGAGGAGTGGAGGTTTAGAAAAATGTGTGTCAAGGAAAACATGGGAGAAGGAGACATCCGGGCTGGTACTTAAAGGAATGGTAAGAAACTGCTGAGATGAAGTAGGAGAAGAAGCATTCTAAGAGGATAAAACAGCGCAACCAAAGGTGTGGAATTGGTACTGCTTACCCTTCACAGACTGACAGGATCTAACAACTTAACGCACTTCTGTGTGACTCTAAGAGAATAATGAGCAACTCACTGTTCTTTGAGAGGAAAGACCAAGACAATAACTACAGAGCATTCAGCAGAATGTCTGGCACGTGGCGGCACTCCCAAACAGTAGCTGTTTATATTATCTCACTTTTCACTGCAAGTACATACGACTCATACACATAACGCTCATTGTGGACCCTAATACTTTGATGCTTTGAATATTTGCCAAAATCGTGCCTCTTAATATATCTTATTTACGTGCCTACAGGACAAAGAGTGAGGCTTATCTGTTTATATCCTCTTTATCTAAGCAGAGTGACTTGAATTCAAATTACTGAAAGGGTAAAGAGAAAGGCTTTAAATGAAACCTTCCACATAATGCAGAAGGCATTGCATCTGTTGGCCCATCAGCAGGTACATCAACGCACTCGCCTTTAGCCTACTGTGTGTGAAGATTCCTGGGGAAGAAGTTTGTCTTTGTAAGGAAAAGTCTGCCCATTGGAAGGAGTGATTAAAAACTAACTCTTGAGGAGCATCATTACAGTGAGATTGGGACGACTTTGTAACCTCCTGAGCCCCCAGTCACCCAGGAAACACATCCGAGTCTCCCCTCATTGTACGAGAGTATAAAGGCCACCAGGCCCCCAGACCACAGATCCCCCATCATGCACAAGTAACCCCAATGGTGAGTCTTTCCCCCTGTTTCCTTCTCAGCGCTCCACCGGACAGCAGCAGGCATTTTTCTCCTTTGACATATAAAGAGATTTGGCCTTGTGATAACCACCCTCAAAATATTATCTAGAATCATGCAAAGAAAAGGAAAAGGTGACACATGTAAAATCTCTGTAATAGAATATCGTATGATATTCCCAACTTGGAAGACACATAGGCAGAGGAAGAAACATGAAAGTGGTGTCACCTGGCTTAACACGATCAATGAATCGCTGCAGAAGAAGGAAATGATGCTTTTCTTAGAAATTCTGGCATGTTTAACCTAATAAGCACAATTATTAACTCAGTAATATTAATTAACTCCCCAGCAGGAAAAACAACAGGGAAAGCCTGTTACTCATGGTAACATCAGCTACTCAGCGGAGTATAAAAGGGGAGCGGGATGGGAGACTCTCAAACTCAGGAAACCACTCTTGTGAAACCCACTCCTACCCACTTGTGGAACCCCAAGCCTTCCACTGACACCATGGTCAGCTCCTGTTGTGGCTCCGTCTGCTCTGACCAGGGCTGTGGCCAGGAGACCTGCTGCCGCCCCAGCTGTTGTCAGATCGCGTGCTGCAGAACCACCTGCCTCCGCCCCAGCTGCAGTGTGTCCAGCTGCTGCAGGCCCCAGTGCTGCATCTCCAGCTGCTGCAGGCCCCAGTGCCAGCAGTCTGTGTGCTGCCAGCCCACCTTCCTCCGCCCCAGCTGCAGTGTGTCCAGCGCTCAGCGCCTTCCTGCCGCCCCAGCTGCAGTGTGTCCAGCTGCTGCAGGCCCCATGCTGCATTCCAGCTGCTGCAGCCCATGCTGCATCTCCAGCTGCTGCCACCCCTTGCTCATCTAGCTGTGGGTCGAGCTGCTGCCGCCCCTTCTGCTGTCTGCGCCCAGTCTGTGGCCGGGTCTCCTGCCACACCACTTGCTACCGCCCCACCTGTGTCATCTCCACCTGCCCCCGCCCTGTGTGCTGCCCCTCAAATCACTTTTTAAATTATATTTTGGAATTGTGCCAAATATCTTTGTTTCCAAAGTAAATTCTCTGAAGGGGAGCACGTTTAAGGAATTCTCCTATTCCTGTTCCTTCCTCGTAGGCCCGCCCTCCCCCAGAGATGGCCATATTTATAATTTAACATTTTCCTTCCCATTGCTATTTTAAATATAAATATATTTGGGTTTTCATACTTGTATCACCTTTGTTTCTTAGATAAATGGTTGTATACTGTGCACTTTGTTCCAACTGGCTTTTCTCCACTTAACAATTGATCCCAGAGCTCAGCTCACAGTGGTATGTTCAGATATCCTTCATTCCATTCTCAGCCACAATGGAGTCCATTCTGCGGACACCATACAGCTTATTTAGCCAGTCTCCTGTAGATGGACATTTGGGTTGTTTCCAGGCGTTCACTATTAAAATAATATTGTGCCTTGAAAACAAGAAGTATTTTTGTTATTTTGAGGATTGAGAGTTCAATGTGTATCTACAAGATCTACCTTGTTGATTTTGTTTAGTTCTTTCATATTCTTATTAATTTTTCTCCTCATCTTCTCACCTTAAATGCAAAGTGTGTTAAAGTCTTCAGTTGCTGGTCTCTTTCTCTTCTATTCTCGCATCACCTGTGGTCTCTGTTTCTGAAGTTCAGCTGTGTAGTTATATTTTTACTGAGCCTTTACCATGAGAAAGCGTCCCACGTTGTCTCCTGTGATGCTTTTTGTGTGACTCCAACTTGTTTGATAACAAAATCGGGACCCCTGCTTTCTTTTATTTGCATATTCTGTGATATAACCTCCTCTATTCCCTTACCTTTATCGCTCTGAAGATGGTTGTTTTAGCTGTATCTTGTGTCTACAGCATAGTGGTGGGTGTTTACTTTTCAGTCAATCTGCAAATCTCTTTCTTTTTACCTGTGAGTTGAGACTCTTACATGTGTTGGTGTAACCATTGATCAATATGTTTGGCTTTAGTTGTGTCGTTTTATTATAAATATAGTGATATACCTATTTAATATAATAAATAGTCATATATAATAATAGTGATATATAACATGTAGTGAATTATGTTTTATATATAATACGTATGTTAAATAGTTATGTCTCTACATCCGTATCTCTGTAACTAATCTTTCACTATTTGTTTTATTCCCTCTCTGTTTCTCTCTCTCTCTCTCTCAATGTGTATTTTGGTACTCAGGAAGATTTGTATCTTGTACTAACAGCTACCTTCATATAAATGTCTTTATATAATACCCGATGAGTCTGATTTTTTGGCTATCGTCAGTTGATTCTCTTCTTTCAGAAACATTAGAATTACCTACTTACTTCTTAGTCCTCCCTGTCCTTCTGCATCAGATTTGAGTTCCTATTTAATACCCGTAGGCAATCAGCAATATTTTCTATATTATGTATTCTCTCTCCTTTCTCTCCATTTTTTGGTAATTGTCCTACATCTGCATGGTCAGTACATGGCCATTACACATCATATTGCCTCTCTCATATTCCACACTCAATGTTAGTTCTATGAATAATATGGATGTATGTTATATGTGCATAAATACATATGCATGTGTGTATGTAGAACGCCCTCTGCTAGTCCTCGTGTAGATGTCCCTCCAGTATCTTCAGTCATTTGGGTTGGTTGGAGCTCGTTCACGAGTAAATTCCTCAGGATAGCCCCACGGGGAGAACATTCACTGAGGTCCTTCGTGTTCACAGGAGTTTATTAGTGGCCTTTATAGCTGGAGTTCAGTTGGGCTAGATAGAAAATCCTTGGCTCATATTTCCTTTCTTAAGAGTCTTTAAAAGTTAGTACATTACCTTCTAGCATAAAGTATTGCCATCAAAAAGTGTGAACACAATCCACTTCCCCTTTCCTTATAACTGACATGGATTTTTTGTCTAGATCTTCATTGAGTTTCTCTTTTTAAAAAAATCCAATAGTTTTATAACATTGTGTCTCAATTTTGAGCGCTGTGGGCTGCTTTTTCCAGGTGTGTACAAGTGAGCTTTTATTTGAATTTCAATTCTTAGTATTCATTGTGTTTCATAGCTTTGTTTTTCTTCTTTGAAGATCTATTATAGATATTCTCTGTGTATTTTCTCTGTCACTTTTTCCTTCAAAATCCCTTTGTATCTTTCTTCATTTCAGTCTTCAAGATGGGTTTGGAAATTCCATACAAATGTTAAAATCAGCTTCTAAGCATCCACTAATCAGCGTACTGGGATTTTGATTGCGATTGCATTGAATCTTTAGAGTGATTGACAGAGAATGGGCATCTTAGCGATACTGAGCGCGCCGGTCCACGAAGGGGGTGTGTCTCCATTCCTTTAGATCTTCCCTGATTTGTCCTTCTGCAACAGTGCAGCTTTGCAGGCAGAGTTCTTCCACAGTTTTGTATATTTTTCTCTGAGCATCTTATGTTTTTGATGCCTTTGTAAATGGAACTGCTCTCATTTAAACTTAATTATGTCGTAGTTTGTTGCTAGTATACCAAATACAGTTAATTTGAGTACACTGACCTTATATGTCACGTCCCTGTTAAATTCACTTGTTAGTTTCTTGAGTTGTTTTGAGTGTAGAAGCCCAAATTTCTGTCTAGTTGTCACCTCAAGTGAGTAACTGATGATTTATTTTCATGCTCTCTTTCTTCAGTGAGCCAGCCCCCTAGCTCCCTCTCCAAACTAGGCAGCTTTGGTGGGGCTCTCAGATTGTGGAGTAAGGAACTGTCTTTTAGGGGACCGTGTCCTCATTTGAATCACAGATACCTGCACCTAAAGAAAAGCTCCGAAGCTCAGTCTCATTCATATAAATAAAGCACAGGGAGAAATATAGTGTACAAACCAGTGGACAAATGTCTAGAAAAATATTAAAAAGTAAACACATCAGTGATTTTGTTGAGAACCTCCACTAGGAGGCAGCTCCCTTAGTGCAGAGAGTTTTGTGTGTTGCTCTCCGCTGTTACCCCTGCACCTTTAACAGTGTGGCCACGTAATAAATGCTCAATGAATACTTTTTAAATGAATCAGTGAAGATTTTGGCATTTGGAAGGATCAATGAAAGGAGACTCACTTTTCAGGAAAAACGCTTGACCCCCGTTTCCACACAGAAACACCTGACAGGAAGTCAATACTGCTCTCTGCTGTGGTCATGCCACGGTTTCCACCAAGCACCTTGTCTTGTGAAGGACCTGCTGCACTCCTCTAGGTTGCCTGTCTGTCTTTGCAGTGTATATGGATTTGAAATCTCCTATCAAAAGAAAACATGAGTGAGGACTAAGGTCCTATTGTAAATAGGGGCAGAATCAGCACACACTTGTTTTGCTGCGTGGATGACACCCGTGTCATGGAGCGCGAGTCTGAAGACAAACGTGCAGACTGTGCCAAATAGCACATTGCAGCTACGACAGCGGATGTGACCACGAAGCACGTATTGTGTTCTTTTTACTTTTATTTACGTGGAGTCCGCCAAACTCCCGGTTTCACCTCTTTGTTCTTTTCCTTGGAGACATTCATCATCTTAGGTGATTTGCTCATGAACTAAGGAGGCATCTAGGAATAAATCAGGCAGTGAATAATGAACCATTTATGGAGAAGTGATAAGACCATGTGGTGTGTCCTGCAGGAACAGGACAGGTACACTTCTCTAGAAAGTGAAGACAAAATCTCAAGGGAGCCACAATCACGCTGAATTTTTAATGCAGGGAGAAGTAACTTTATTTTGTTACAGAAATATAGCAGGGTACAGAAAAGCCGTAGAAAAAAGAAGTCAGGAGAATGATTTCACCACTGGTCAGGTTGAAGGGTAAACTCGGTTAAGCATAAGTGCTCGGGACCACATCTGTCTCCTGCAACAGCGTGACCCGGTTCCCCAATGGAATCCTGAGGCCCAATTCAGTCAAGTGACCTCAAGCACACTCCCTGTTTCCGAAAGGTCAGCATAACAGTGGGGTCTATATCTATGAGAACAGAGGTAGACAGACGGTGGTCACAGGGCAGAGATTCAGCAGCAAGAGGAGGGGCAGCACACAGGGCGGGGGCAGGTGGAGATGACACAGGTGGGGCGGTAGCAAGTGGTGTGGCAGGAGACCCGGCCACAGACTGGGCGCAGACAGCAGGAGGGGCGGCAGCAGCTGGAGCCGCAGCAGCTAGAACTGGAGCAAGAGGGCTGGCAGCAGCTGGAGATACAGCACTGGGGCTGGCAGCAGTTGGACACACTGCAGCTGGGGCGGCAGCAGCTGGAGATGTAGCACCGGGGCCTGCTGCAGCTGGACACATCACAGCTGGGGCGGCAGCAGCTGGACACACTGCAGCTGGGGCGGCAGCAGGTAGAGCCACAGCTACTGGATCCACTGCAAGAAGGGCGAATGCAGCAGCGGGAGATGGAGCAGCAGCTGGGGCGGCAGCAGCTGGAGCCGCAGCAGCTAGAACTGGAGCAAGAGGGCTGGCAGCAGCTGGAGATGCAGCACTGGGGCCTGCAACAGCTGGACACACTGCAGGTGGGGCGGAGGTAGGTGGTCCTGCAGCAGGTGATCTGACAGCAGCTGGGGCGGCAGCAGCTCTCCTGGCCACAGCCCTGGTCAGAGCAGATGGAGCCACAACAGGAGCTGACCATGGTGTCAGTGGAAGGCGTGGGATTCCCCAAGTGGGTAGGAGTGGGTTTCACAAGAGTGGTTTCCTGAGTTTGAGAGTCTCCCATCCCGCTCCCCTTTTATACTCCACTGAGTAGCTGATGTTACCATGAGTAACAGGCTTTCCTTGTTTGTCCTGCTGGGAAGTCAATTAATATTACTGAGTTAATAATTGTGTTTATCAGGTTAAACATGCCAACATCTAAGAAAAGCTTCGTTTCCTTCTTCTGCAACGATGCACTGAATCTTGGTAAGCCATGGGAAACCACTTTCGTGTTTCCTCCTCTGCCTAATGTGTCTTCCAAGTTGGGAATATCACATGATATTCTATTACAGAGTTCTTACATGTGTCAATTTTTCCTTTTCTTTATAGGACTCCGTGATAATACTTTGAGGATGCATATCAGAAGGCCAAGTCTCTTTTTGTGTCAAAGTGGAGAAAAGCCTGCTGCTGTCAGGTGGAGCGCTGAGAAGGAAACAGGAGGACTGACACATTACTGCTGTTACGTGTACACAATGGGGGGAATCTGTGATCTGGGGGGACTCTCCTCAGAGTTAGTGTTAATCACTCCTTTTCAATGGATCAACTTTCCGTACAAACAGAAACATTTTCCCCCACTAATCTTCACGTATAGTATGCTCAGCATGAGTGGGTTTGACCTACCTTTTGACAGGCCAACATATGCAATGCATTCTACGTTATATAGGAGGTTTCATTTACAGCCATTTTTTTTCTTTCCTCTTTCAGTAATTTGAATTCAAGCCATTCTGCTTAGGTAAAGGGCATATAAACAGATAAGCCTTACTCTTTGTCCTATAGGCACTGAAATAAGATATATAAAGAATGAAAAATTTGGGCAACTATTCAAAGCGTCAAAGGATTAGGATACCTAAATCCAAGTATCTAAGTCCCATATGCTTTCCGGGAGAAATGAGATAATATAAACAGCTGCTGTTGGTGAGCGCTGCCACGCGCCAGACCTTCTGCTGGATGCTTTGTGATCATGGTCCTGCCTTTCCTCTCAGAGACAGCGCGCTCCTCATCATCCTCTAAGAGTCACAGAGCAGTGAGTGAAGGTTGCTCGATGCTGTAATCGTCTACAAAGTGTGAGCAATGCCAATTCCACTCCTCGGACTGTGCCGTCTCTCCTTCGAGCTTTCCTTCTCTCACGTCAAATAGGGAATTTCTTGCTTTTCCTTTAAGTCCCGGCCCAGACGCCTCCTCCTCTCTTACGTTTTCCTTGACATACAGTTCTTTAAACCTCCTTTGCTCCTCCTGCACATTGCGGAGCACTCGAACTTCACACACCTGACTCTAACCTAAATGTGTTTGCCTGTCTGCCTACAGCTGGATGGTAAACACCTGAAGCGGACTTTGAATCATATGTCAGTATCATCATGCGTGGAGTGGAGGATACCGTCATTGTCTTCTTTTCATTTCAGGAATCTCTTTTTAAATATAATTTTTTTTCTTTTGAGGAAGATTAGCCCCGAGCTCACATCTGCTGCCAATGCTCTTCTTTTTGCTGAGGAAGATTGGCCCTGAGCTAACATCCATGCTCGTCTTCCTCTATTTTAAACGTGGCATGCCTGCCACAGCATGGCTTGATAAGCGGTGCGTAGGTCCACATCCAGGATCGGAACCAGTGAACTTGGGGCCAATGAAGCTGAGTGTGCAGACTTAACCACTATACCACTGATCGCCCCCTTAAATTTTGTTTTATTTTGCACATTATCTTTGGTTTCAAAATAAATTGTTCGGAGGGAAGCATATTTAAGGAAATCTTGCTTCCATTCCTGTGCCTTCCATGTATGCTCCCCCTCCCCCACAGGCAGTCATATTTATAGTCTAAGGTTTGCCTTCCCGTTGCTATTGTAAATATAAATGCGTTTCTTTTTGCACATTTATGCCTCCTTTGTTTCGTAGATAAATGGTAGTGTAACATATACGTTGCTCCAACTTGCTTGTATTCGCTTCATAATTAATCCCAGAGCTCAATTCACAGAAGTGTGTTCAGACATTCTTCATTCCATTTTCAGCCGCAAAGTAGTCCATTCTGTGGATATCACAGAGCTTATTTGGCCAGTGCCCTAGTGGTGGAGATTTGGGTTGTTTCCAGGCTTTCACTATTAAAATAATATTGTGCACCTGAAAACAAGGAGATATTTTGGAGAGGAGGAAGGTCTGAGAGTTTGATGCATGTCTATAAGGTTCACCTTATTGATTTTGTTTAATCACTTCATATTCTTATTACTTTTTCTCCTCACGTTCTCTCTGTAAATACCAAGTGCGTAAAGTCTTCAATTACTGGTTTGTTTCTTTTCTCGCACCACCTGTAGTTTCTGTTTCGGAAGTTGGCTGTGTAGTTACATTTCCAGTGTAGCCTGTACCGTAACAAAGTATCCTACTCGTCTCCTGTGATGCTTTTTGTATGATTGGAACTTGTTTGAGCTCAAAATTGGGACCCCTGCTTTCTTTTATTTGCATTTTCTGTGGTCCCTCTCCCTCTTACTTTTAATGCTGTGAAGCTGGCTGTTTTAGTTGTGTCTCTTGTTGCAGCATGGCGGTGGGTGTTTACTTTTTAGCCAATCTCTGAATCTTTCTCTTTTTACTGGTGAGTTGAGCCTATTACACGTATTGGTGAAACCATCGGTCAATATGTTTGGCTTTAGTCATACAGTTTAATTATATATAATGCTACACAAACGTAATATAATAAACAGGGATATATATAATGAATAGTGATATAAAACCTACATGTGTAACATGTGTCACTATCATATAAACGTCTTCATATAATACCCGATGAGTCTGACTTTTTCGCTTTTGTCAGTTGATTCTCTACTTTCAGAAACACTGAAATTACCTGCTTACTTCTTCGTCCCCCACTCCTTCAGCTTCATAGTTAAACTCCCCATTAATTCCCATAAGCAATCAGCAACATTTTCTACTTTATGTGCTCTCTCTTCTTTTCCTCCAGTTTTTGGTAACTGTCCTACATCTGCATGGTCAGTAGGTGGCCACTGCACATCATATCGCCTCTCTCCTGTTCCACACTCAATTTGAGTTCTATGAATAAATGGATGCATATTATATGCACCTACATCCGTATGCACGTGTGTATATAGAACGCCCTCTGCTAGTCCTCGTGTAGATGTCCCTCCAGTATCTTCAGTCATTTTGGTTGGTTGGAGCTCGTTCACGAGTAAATTCCTCAGGACAGGCCCCTGGGCAGAACACTCACTGAGGTCTTTCGTGTTCACAGGAGTTTATTTGTGGCCTTTATAGCTGGAGTTCAGTTGGGCTAGATAGAAAATCCTTGGCTCATGTTTTCTTTCTTGAGTGTCTTTAAAATGTCAGTCCATTGGCTTCTGACGTGAGTATTGCCATCAAAATGTGTGAACACAACCCACTTGCCTTTTCCTTGTAACTGGCGGATTTTTAGCCTAGATCTTTAAAGACTTTTTTCTTTTCCTTCAAAATACAATAGTTTTAAATGTTGTGTCTCAACTTTAAGCACTGTGGGCTAATTTTTCAGGTGTGTGCCAGTGGACTTTTATTTGAATTATAGTTCTTAGTATTAATTCCGTTTCATAGCTTAGTTTTTCTTCTTTGAATATCTATTATAGATGTTCTCTGCCTATTTTCTACGTCGCTTTTTCCTGCAAAACCCTTTACATCTTTCTTCATGTCATTTTTTTCAAGATTGCTTTGGAAATGCTGGGTCCTTTGCATTTCTATATAAATTTTAAAATCAGCTTCTAAGAATCTACTGAAAAGCGTCGGGAGATTTTGATTGAGAGTGCATCAAATCTTTAGATATATCAAAAGAGAACTGCCGTCTTAACATTGAGCACGCCAAGCCAGGAACAGGGCATATATCTCCATTTCTCTAGAACTTCCCCAATTTCTCCTTCTAAAAGTTGGCAGCTTTGGGAGCAGAGGCCTTCCACCTTTTTCTATATTTTTCCTCCAGCATCTAATGTTTTTGATGCCTTTGTCACTGGAATTTCTCACATTTAAATTTAGCTATGTCGTTGTTTGTTGCTAGTATATAAAATACAGTTAATTTGTGTACACTGACCTTATGTGTCACGTCCCTGTTAAATTCACTTGTTAGTTTCAGGAGTTGTTTTGAGTGTGGGAGCCCAACTTTCTGTCTAGCTCTCACCTCAAGTGAGTAACTGATGATTTATCTTCATTCCCTTTTTCTTCAGTGAGCCGGCCCTCTAGCTCCTCTCCAGACATGCAGCTTTACTGGGGGTCTCAGGTTGTGGAGTAAGGGACATCATTAGTAAAACCGTCCTTTAGAGGACCTTGTCCCCGTTTGAATCACAGATACCTGCATCTAAAGAAAAGCTCCAAAAGTCAATCTTATTCATATAAGTAAAAGCACAGGAAAAGATACTGTGTACAAACCAGAGCAGACAAATGTCTAGAAAAATATTGAAAAGTAAACACATCAGTGACTTTTGTTGAGAACCTCCACTAGGGTGTCGGCTCCCTTAGTGCAGAGAGTTTTTGTGTGTTGCTGTCTGCTGTTACCGCCGCACCTTTAACAGTGTCGCCACGTAATAAATGCTCAATGAATACTTTTTAAATGAATGAGTGAAGATTTTGGCATTGGAAGGATCAATGAAAGGAGACTCACTTTTCAGGAAAAACACTTGACCCCCGTTTCCACACAGAAACACCTGACAGGAAGTCAATACTGCTCTCTGCTGTGGTCATGCCACGGTTTCCACCAAGCACCTTGTCTTATGAAGGACCTGCTGCACTCCTCTAGGTTGCCTGTCTGCCCTTGCAGTGTATATGGATTTGAAATCTCCTACCAAAAGAAAAAATGCGTGAGGACTAAGGTCCTATTGTAAATAGGGGCAGAATCAGCACACACTTGTTTTGCTGCGTGGATGACACCCGTATCATGGAGCGCGAGTCTGAAGACAAACGTGCAGACTGTGCCAAATAGCACATTGCAGCTACGACAGCGGATGTGACCACGAAGCATGTATTGTGTTCTTTTTACTTTTATTTACGTGGAGTCCGCCAAACTCCCGGTTTCACCTCTTTGTTCTTTTCCTTGGACGCATTCATAGTCTTAGGTGATTTGCTCATGAACTAAGGAGGCATCTAGGAATAAATCAGGCAGTGAATAATGAACCATTTACGGAGAAGTGATAAGACCATGTGGTGTGTCCTGCAGGAACAGGACAGGTACACTTCTCTAGAAAGTGAAGACAAAATCTCAAGGGAGCCACAATCACGCTGAATTTTTAATGCAGGGAGAAGTAACTTTATTTTGTTACAGAAATATAGCAGGGTACAGAAAAGCCCTAGAAAAAAGAAGTCAGGAGAATGATTTCACCACTGGTCAGGTTGAAGGGTAAACTCGGTTAAGCGTAAGTGCTCGGGACCACATCTGTCTCCTGCAACAGCGTGACCCGGTTCCCCAATGGAATCCTGAGGCCCAATTCAGTCAAGTGACCTCAAGCACACTCCCTGTTTCCGAAAGGTCAGCATAACAGTGGGGTCTATATCTGTGAGAACAGAGGTAGACAGACGGTGGTCACAGGGCAGAGATTCAGCAGCAAGAGGAGGGGCAGCACACAGGGCGGGGGCAGGTGGAGATGACACAGGTGGGGCGGTAGCAAGTGGTGTGGCAGGAGACCCGGCCACAGACTGGGCGCAGACAGCAGGAGGGGCGGCAGCAGCTGGAGCCGCAGCAGCTAGAACTGGAGCAAGAGGGCTGGCAGCAGCTGGAGATGCAGCAGCTGGGGCGGCAGCAGCTGGAGATGCCACAGCTGGGGCGGCAGCAGCTGGACACATCACAGCTGGGGCGGCAGCAGCTAGACACACTGAAGCTGGGGCGGCAGCAGCTGGAAATGCAGCAGCTGGGGTGGCAGCAGCTGGACACACTGCAGCTGGGGCGGCAGCAGCTGGAGCCACAGCTACTGGATCCACTGCAAGAAGGGTGGCAGCAGCTGGAGATGCAGCACTGGGGCCTGCAGCAGCTGGAGACACTGCAGCTGGGGCGGCAGCAGCTGGAGATGCAGCACTGGGGCCTGCAGCAGCTGGAGACACTGCAGCTGGGGCGGCAGCAGCTGGAGATGCAGCACTGGGGCCTACAACAGCTGGGCACACTGCAGGTGGGTTGGTAGCAGGTGGTCCTGCAGCAGGTGATCTGACAGCAGCTGGGGCGGCAGCAGGTCTCCTGGCCACAGCCCTGGTCAGAGCAGACGGAGCCACAACAAGAGCTGACCATGGTGTCAGAGGGTGGAGATTCTGATACTAGTAAGAGAGTGAGCTTAATGAATTTGAAAATCCTTCTGCTGCTTGTCGTCTTTTATACTCTGCTGAGGCTGCTGTGTCCATTTCCTGGACCATTTCCTAGTTTATTTTCCTAAAGCAATATTAGTCATTGAGTTAAATCATTGTGTTTCTCTGGTTAAATATTCTAAGGTCAAGAAAAATAAGATTTCCTTTTCCTGGTGTTTTAAGATTTCTATTTGGTGTTTCTCAGAATTGCCTTTCTTATTTCCTTGTTTGTCAAGATGGCCCGTCATGTGGCCTCAGTCACTGGGATTTACCTGTGATCTGTGTATCCGTCCACAATGTTGTTTGGATGAATTGTTCTTATGATGCCAAGATCTCTTTTGATCTCAAACGAGAAGCAGAATTATAGCAGGCAAATAGAAAAGTGATCATCTCTGTGAGTTATTTATGTGCCACGAGGAAGACAGCCCATCAGTGAGTCATGAATACTCAGTGGACAGTGGACTCTCTGGCTGCTTCCAAGTGTGGGCTAAGCGCTACTTCCTGTGTTCAATTTGAAACCGTTAGCAATGACTCATTGTTTTTAAATACTAAAAGGTATGTGGAGCAAGCTTGAAGGGACTCTCACTGGCCCAATATGGGACAACTTGAGCACCAAAATGAACACTGGTAGTAATGGAGTTTAGCCCGTGAAAGAAAATAAGAATCCATGAGTCCATTCTGAGAATAATTAAATAAAGACATAAAAAAGGAAGATTAGAAATTTATCTATGGCAGTAGAATGTCAACTAATAATTGTAGAAGGAAAAATAGAGTTATAAAATCACCATTTACGACCCTCCTAATAAAACTTGATTCAAGTAAATAGCGTCAATGATGCTGTAACTATTGGGTGAAAGTTTGTTGGGGAACAGGGTATTTGCACACTTTCAAAATATTTCCCCATCAATTATTTATTAGTTTCAAAGGGAAACATGCTAACTTTACTGTGGAGAAACTTGGGAACACAGCCTTAACGATGGGGTGGAAGTTCACATCATTAACATTGGGACAAACAGACAGGTGTCTCCTTAAGTCAGACACTGAAAGAACACAGCGTTTCTGTAGTATTCCTATCAAAATCCTTCACCTGAATCTAATTGTGAGGAAACCTCAGACAGTCACAGCCTGAGGAATACTCCACATAATGACTGGCCTGTTCTCTTAAAAAATATCCGAATCATCTGATATAAAGACAGATAGAGGAACTGTTATAGATTTAGGGAAATGAAAGAGACACGATATCTAAATGCAATGCATGGGTATGGATAAGAATTTCTATAGGACAGTATTGTTACAGCTGGCAACATTTAAACATGAAATGTATACTAGATAATAGTACCTCATCAGCATTTAATTTAATTAATATCAGTGCTGTGGTCATGCAAGAAAACGTCCTTGCTCTTAGGATATAAGTCTATTATCTCTCTCTCCCCCCCTACCGCCACCTATATCTATCTATTGGAAAGAAAATATGGCAAAATGTTGAATCTAGGTGAAAGCTATATGGTATAAGGGAGTACTTTGTATTTCTCTTGGAACTATTCTGTAAGTTTGATAGTTTTTTCAACAATAAAACGTTAAAAATGCACAAGGGGATTGGGATTGAAAAAACTTCCTAGTGTTAATATATTAAGAATGAGTAGTGTGTGTCTTTGGGGGGAAATACTGAAGTATATGATAAACTTTACCTTATAGGAGCTTCTACTATAGGGACACTTTTTAATGTTTCTAACTAATGCTGTAAATCTTTCATCTTTCCTGAATCCCTGACAATTAAGGACTTCTGGCAATACGGCTGATTAAGGCAATATGGACAAGTTTACCTTCTGACACAAGCAAATAGAAATGCTTGAAAAATATATTTTAAGTATTTCAATTACATAGCTGAACTTGAAAAAAGAGAAAAAACTCTCATTTTCCAGAAACAAGGCATTATAAGTGGTAATGGAGGCGCCTGTGAACATCTAAACCACAGCAGCATCGAGCTTTCTTTTTTTAATACATATATGAATATATTTTTTCTGCTTTATCTCCCCAAACGCCCCCTGTACACAGTTGTGTATCTTAGTTGCAGGTCCTTCTAGCTGTGGGATGTGGGACGCCGCCTCCACGTGGCCTGACGAGCGGTGCCATGTCCGCGCCCAGGATCCGAACCCTGGGCCGCCGCAGCGGAGCGCACAAACTTAACCGCTCAGCCGCGGAGCCAGCCCCGCATCAAGCTTTCTAATTTACACTGTATGCATAGTGAAGGAATCTCGAGGAGAGAAACTATTACAAAATAGTGAATGTCCTTGAAGTCATCAGAAGCAGAAGCAAAAATCATAGCACACAGAAATAACTCCCATAATGATACTGGCTCAACACAAGGTTGACATGAGGGAAGCCATATTGTAGAAAAGAAAGCATACTGTAACTTTGAATGGCTTCTGATTAACTAACCCTGACTCACCAGCCCCTTTGAATCTGTGCTAGATAATTAAGGGTCTGTCTCCAGGGGATTTGCAGGCTCTGTAGATTTTATGGCCCCTCCCAACTGTGATAAGATGATAACTTTGTTCTTTTGAGTTCTCTAGGAATCTGATGACCCCTAGGCAGAGAGTCTATGATGATAGCCATGATCAGTTACAACTGAAAGATCAGCATATAGGGGCAGCGTTCCTCTGGTCTCTGATGCATATCCAGTTAAACAAAAGACCATTGGGGATTAAGACCAGGCGTCTGCCCCCACCCTGGAGATCTGATGGAGGCCCCACCAAGGGACCAGCTGCCCCACCAATAGACCAGGCCTGTAATCTTTGTTCTGTAAGAGGATTCTTTCGGACATTAGTTGGCCATCTTCTCTCTTGCTAGCAAGCTGTAATAAAAAACCATTTCTCTCCTACCACCTTTCCTCTTGACTGTTGGCATGTCTTGAAGTGGGGAGAACACCCCCCTCTAAGAAACCACAATAGACTGCATGGGACATTCACAGGGGAAAATTTTATAAAGTATACAAGAAAATAATCCACCATGAGTGGCACAGTGCCTATAGGAAAATGGAATATTCCCCCAAGAACTGACATAATTGTAGATTCTGAAGGAGACTGAATAAATTGGGGTTAAAAGAGGATCTTGAATCTGTGGCTTGAAGTCTTTTATCAGTTTTGTCAAATTGCCCACCAGACTCTCTCTGTTTATGGCTTCTGCCCTCTTCTCTCTTCTCTCATCCTGGGACTCCAGTTTCCGTGTACGTTAGTCCTTTTCAGTGTGCTCCACATGTGTCCTATGCTCTTCTCTTTACCTCTTTTTCTCTGCATTTCAATGTGCATATTTTCTGTTTCCAGTTTTCTCTTCCTCTCTTCTGTTCTGTCTAATCTATTAAACCCATTCATTGAATTCTGAATTTCAGTTTTTGAGTTTTTCAGTTCTAGGTTTTTCAGCGGACTTTTGGTTTTTTCGGTTTTTACAGATTCCAGTTCTCTGATGAAATTCACCATTTTTTACCTATTATTTCAAACACATTAATCATAGTTATTCTAAAGTTAGTGTTAACAGCTTTATATGGATCATCTTTGGGTCTATTTATATTGTCTTTTCTTTTTCTTGTTTTTAGTGATTTTTTTGCTTCTTTCCTTCTGACATCCCTGGTATTTTTTTTTAATTGAATTCTAGACATTATATATATGACAAATTGTAGAGGCTTTGGTAATTTCTTCTTCCACCAGAAAGGATTTAATATTCTTAGATGAGGGGCCCGCCACTCCTGCCTGCATTGGTCAATTCCCAATGTTTACCAACAACTATTTTCTCACTTTTATCCAACTCTCATAGTTACCCTCATTGAGGAGTTTGGTCTGATACCAGCTGCTTTGTCATAGCTGGAAATAGAATTCTGCCCTTTAATTTTTCAAGTAACCACTCTCTTTTGGGCCCTGCCCTCTACTAATTGTCTTCTTACTTCTCTAGCTATTCATTCTAGTCTCTTGTGATTGCTGCTGCTCCTCTTTCAACTGACAAATGTTGGAGTATCCAACAGCTCAGATCACAGACATCTTCTCTTTAGATACTTAACATCCTGTGACCCCTGGAATCCATATATAGACCATGGGATTAAGGCCCATTTTAGATTTGTAAGCACCTCTCTCATATATTGTGTTTTGCAACCTCTAAGATGACCCCCAATGATCTCTGCCTCCTGGCACTCATGTCCTTGTGTAATCTCCTCCCCTTGAGTGTGAGCTGAACATCTTGATTCACTTCAAATGAATGGAATATTGTGGTATCGAGGGTGTCAAACTTTCAAGATTAGATTATTATAGGAAGATTGTGGCTTCCATATTGGGTTTTCCTTCTGTTTCTCTCACTTTCTCAGATCACTCACTCCAGGGAAAGCCAGCTGCCATGTTGTATGAGCAAGCCATAAGGTGAAGAACTGAGGCCTCTTGCCAACAGCCATGTGAGTAAGCTGGGAAGTGGACTTTCCCCCTTGCATATGAATGCAGCCCTGACCAAAAGCTTGCCTGCGGCTTCATAAGAGACCATGACATGCCATTTCTGGATTTCTAACCTCAGAAAGTGTATGAGATAATAAACTTCTCGTTTTAAGCTGCTAAATTTTGCAATAATTTGTTATACAGCCTTAGATAGCTAACATACACACCAACTCAGTATAAGTTTAATTCTTCTGAATTTTCCATGAAAGCAATCATATTATCTGCAAATGATTACAGGGGTTTTTTTCTGCCCAATTCTTCCACTTATATTCTTTTTCTTTAAATGTTTCTTTATTGTGAAAAAAAGCACTGATTGAGGCCCTCAAAAGAAATAGAAGAAAACATTTTTTATGCTGGGACCAACTGAAGGTGAAACCAGTTCTCATCTACCATCTCAAATCCATCAGCAGCTCTGTGCCTTGAGGAAAAATGCTCCTGCACACGTTAAATTTGTTTCTCCTTATCAATATTATTCATGTCGCAGAATTTGTGGAAGTTAAACACACTCATAGTTTAATACCACTATATTATTTATTAG